TTTCAATGCGTTCCAATGGGCTTAAAACTCACCGTCCAGTGAAGATCCTCCGTACGGTGGCCATTTTCACTGACTGTATAGCGAGGAATCCGTCCCTAAACAAAGCGGGAGCCATTTTATTTACCCGACGGCCATTTTGAAACCGCCGATCAGCTGTTGAAAAATCATCGTTTTGCAAAGAATCGGTTCCCAAAGCAGGGAACCGATCATTGCAAAGCGAAATTTCATCATTTAGACCATCGTTTTGCGATCACAAAAAGATCGTCGTAAAGCAGATTCGTCGTAATGCGGGGCAATCGTAAAGCGAGGCACCACTGTATGTGGATGAAAAACTTGTAAAGCAACAGATAAATGAATCCATAATGACAACTGATCTACAGAGTATAGAGACTGTTTCACAGGAATTGGTTGATTGGTTATCTGCACAGACCACTGGTCAACTGGCAGGTCAATCTTCTGGAGGTGTTACCAGAAGAGAAGGGGAAGCAGAAACTGGACCAAGGGAAACAAAAACAACTTCTGTAAGACGATCAGAAAGGATTAATAAAAGCAAACCTCCAGAAAGACATGGATTCTGTAAAAACCTGCATATAATAAAGGAACCAAAAAATTGGAATGAGATCACTAAATTATCTATTTCAGAGAGAGAGAGAGAAATGGATAGAAGCCATGAAAGAAGAATATCAATCTCTATAGGAAAGACAAGTTTGGACTCTCACAAATCTACCTCCTAACAGACCAGCTACTGGGAATAAATGTGTTTATAAAATTAAATATAATCCAGAAGGCAGTGTGGATAGGTATAAGGCACGTCTGGTTGCAAAAGGTTTTTCCTAGAAATATGGAGTTGACTGTTTTGAAACATTTGCACCAGTAATTAACCATACAACACTTAGGATACTTTTCAGTGTAGCAAGTTCAAGAAATATGTTTGTGGAACATCTAGATGTTAAAACAGCTTTCCTTAATGGAGATCTTTCAGAATAAATCTATATGGAGCAACCTGAAGGATTTCAAGAATGGGACAAGAAAATTTTGTTTGCAAACTTAACAAGAGTGTGTATGGACTTAAACAATCAGCCAAAAGCTGGTATGATAAATTTACAAATCTCCTACACTGCCAAGGGTTTAAGCAAGGGAAGGCTGATCCTTGTCTATATATGAAACTTAAGGATGGACAGTGCCAATACATAGATGATTTATTAATATGCTGCCAACATAAAGAGGACATTAAAGAGATAGCTGATAAATTGAAAAAGGAAATAAAGATTAAACAACTAGGAGAAGTAAAACATTACAGTGGGGTCTCTACTTAAGAACTTAATCCGTATTGGAAGGTGGTTCTCAAGTTGAAAAGTTCTTATGTTGAATCTGCATTTCCCATAGGAATGCATTGAAAACCATTTAATCCGTATCTGCTCTTTTCCGTCCATAGAAACTACTGTATCTTGGAATGGAAGTTGAAAGACTCAATGATGGAAATTTCCTTTTAAGCCAGAAACGAAAAATCAGTTGAAATGAAAAACTCTAAAACAGTGAGTACTCCATTAGAACCAGCCTACTGTATTTAAAATTTAAAGTTGGACAGCCACTTAAAATTAACAATGAAGATCAAGACGCTATAGGCAAGATCCTTTATTTAAGTAAAACTACGAGGCCTGATAAGGGACGTGGTGGCGCTGTGGGCTAAACCGCAGAAGCCTGTGCTGCAGGGTCAGAAGATCCGGCAGTCGTAAGATCGAATCCACGCAACGGAATGAGCACCCGTCGCTTGTCCCAGCTCCTGCCAACCTAGCGGTTCGAAAGCATGCAAATGCGAGTAGATAAATAGGGACCACCTCGGTGGGAAGGTAAACAGCGTTCCGTGTTTAAATCACACTGGCCATGTGACCACGGAAAGATTGTCTTCGGACAAAACGCTGGCTCTATGGCTTGAAGAGCGGGATGAGCGCCGCCCCCTAGAGTCGGACACGACTGGACAAAAATTGTCAAGGGGAACCTTTACCTTTACGAGGCCTGATATTACAGCAA